TGCCCGCAGTTCTGTGTTAATGACATACTGAAATTTAAAAAAAAAAATAGGAGTGAAGAGTGTATACTAGCAAAAGATGATCCAGTATATTTTTAAATCCTAAAACTAAAGATGAAAATAGATCAAAGAGAACTTTGATTCACGTGGTCACGTCTGGCTGGGCAATCCCCAGACACCGTTTTCTAAAATCGTGCTCTGTGTAGAGATAAACTTTAACAGCAGGGACTAATTACACCTAAGCTTCCTTAAACAGCAACAGAATTTAGGTGCATAAAAGGTCGCCTCTTATGAAAGCACCTGATTGTTTAGGTAGGTCAATGGAGGTGTCTAAAAGAATCATGATAAAGAGTCCTCTTATTCTGGCGAGATATTACGATTACTGCCATCGTAGCTTCTGAACCGAGTTCATCATTAAACCTGCGCAGCAGCCAGGGAGTTTTTAAATGAACTCGGTGTATATAAGAGTAGGTCCTGGGTGTCACTGTGTGTGGCCTGAGAAGCTCCTCTCCGCTGCGGCAGTGAAGCAAAGCTGGAGCACTTTTCGCTGGTGTAAACAAACGGGGAAATGGGGCACTTGGCAGCCGAGTAAAGTGAGTGATGAGGCAAGTGTGCGCTGAAGCATCTAATGAATCATTTACTGGGAATGTTGGATTTTATGAGCAAAAGACAGATGAGGAGGAAGACAAGAAAGAAGGAGACCAGCTGAGAGCATCGAAAAAGAATTACTTTTTTATGAAAAGAAAAGAAAGTTGGTGAGCTGCAGCTGTCATGGAGACACCTGAGAAGATCGGTCAATGTTTTAACCCAACGTGAGGACGAGATTAGAATACATAAAAATAATCCTTCTGCACCAGCAGCATATGAACCTTGCTGAATTTACTGAGGTGGCTGCTGACGCTGTGACAGGTTTGCACCTTTGGACAGAGCTGTTGTACTGAAGGCCTATAAGCGGTCGTATACTCTGCTACGTTTTTACACCTCCAAGGAGAAACAGAATCGCTACCTCTGCTTCTACAACTGAGTGAACAAATATCCAGAGCAGTGAGTGAAATCGCTCTTTATTATAGGACATGCACAAAACATCTTGGAATTGTAAACCTTTTTTTTTTCCCCCTTTGGCAACTTGTATTCCTTTATCACTTTATTCACACACTCCCATCCATGGAAAGGATGCTACTGTGGGAGATGGGTGCATATAATGTTCTGCCAGGGAATTTTATTAGTAACAGGCAACGTCCTGGCTTCACTGGGCTGTGTTTATCTGTGGAGGGGAGATCCCCATCACAACCACTTATTAGGACATATATGTGGCTTTAACCAGGCAGCCATTCAACAGCAATAAGAAGCTGGGTTACTGACCACAAGTAACTGGGAGTGGGACCATTTTAACCAACACCGAAGCAAACGAGAGAAAACGGAAGACAGGAAGGAAATAACAAATACACATAGAAGCACAAGGGAAAAGAGAGACATTCAGCAGAAGGCGGTAGCATGAAGAAATGTCATGTTCTGGAAACTCCGTGTGGAAGAAAAAGACACAGGAGTACATCATGTCCATTGATACAGCCACATCATGCTGACTAGATTCTGTATCACTGCTCACGCACAGCTTTCCCTGCCGTTACTGTAGAAACACGAGCGTCTGCACAGATCAAAACAAACAAACAAAAAAAAATGTGGCAGCTGGATGCTTCATAACTCTCCTTTGGAAAGAGCATGAGGTAAATGAATATGTGATGGAATCTAGAGCTGTGTCCTCGAGATGTGGGGGTGGTGGGAAACACGCGGGATATTTTAAGTCTCAAACACACGCTTACACATGTCCAAACATGTGCAGACACACAAATGGAGAAGGCAAATAATATTTAAATCGCTTCGGTGCAAACTTTTAAAAGTTTCATTTAACAACAACAAGGAGCAAATATTAAGCGTTTTCCTGTCACTGATAAATAAGGAGAGCTTCTTTGTCTCTTTCTATATTCTCAAAGTAAAAAATGAGTCATAAAAACACAAATGAAAGCCATGTGTGGCCATAGTGAGACTTTAAAGATTAGCCCTCTTTCAGTCATGTCTGGTTGCCCTTTCAGATTTGCCAAATAATCTGACAATCATGTATGTTTTATAATTTAAAATATGAATATACTTCATTTGTTTTTTAATTTAATATTATGTTAAAAGACAAATTCTCTTGGTATTTCAAAGCTGTTCCCCAGCATAGAAGAACCTTTCAATACATCGTTCCCTGAGTTCTAAAAAACATCTCAGTGGAAAAAGGGGAGTGAAAGATAGAAAGAGAGAAAAATGGGAGCAGGGAGTGAAAGACATGAAATTTTACAGAGGCACAAACCACAACAAAGTGAGGGTTGAAAGTGTGCTGGACATTCCCCGGGCTGGTGCTCGTACTTGGAAAAAGACGGCCTTTTCAAGACAGGAAAATGATTACAGCTGTGTAAATTGACAGCGGCCTTGTAGCTAAAGATGAAGAGGGCGAAAGACGGGAAGCCTGCAGCCCCGTCATAACTCCAGCTTGGTCTACAAACTGCTGGGGGTCGGGCAAAAAAAACATCACACGATCAAATTAAATGGTGTTAATTGCTGCCAAATCAGCCTGGTGGTGGCTATCAACTTAGCTTAACAGCATTCCAGTCAAACGCGTTTGTTTTTCCATCTCTGCGTAAATGCTAAATGCGCACCGTGCTGTGAACGCGGAGAAGCTGAAAGGCACTGAAGTGTGTTGGAGCTTAAGTAAAACATCAAGATAAGCTCCATCAAGATGTTTACACAGTTTCACTATTTTAGCTCGCACTCTTCTCTCTTCTCACGTCTCGTCTCCTAGGGTGGCATTACAGTAAATCTTGGTTTTAGACATTGTGAGGCAATCATTTCAAGTACAGTAGACAATAACAGCATAGCTACTTAGATCAGTCATTCAATTGTGACAACAGATGTGATTAGTGGTAGACTTTAAACAGAATTGCAGCAAATGGCTACTGGGACTCACAGACATATTTCTTCCTATAGCCACAGTTTGTTAGAGATTGTAAACACACTTTGGTTTGCATGATTACAGACTCTCCCTATGACTTTCTCTATGCAACCTGGGGGAGCACACGCAGTAGGATTTGGCACAGATAAATTGCAATATTATGTCAACAAGTCTTTGATCTCAGGGTTATCAATCATGTGACTCATAAGTGTGATCGTTCTAAATTGGAGGGCAGATGTGAACAGTGAAGGTGGTGAAGATAATGCCTGGTTAGGAATGGAAGAATGAACACAGAGAGTGGCTCAATGTAATTCCTGGGTTTTGCTGAAGAGAGGGAAGTGGTGGCTCTTGGCTTCTGTCTGCAGAAGTTAGAAGACAACTGGATGTGGGTGTGTTTGCAGCATACAAACATACCATGCCTGCTGCTAGTGTTTGTCACGTAGTATGCCTATATATTTGTGTACCCTGCACATCTGGGTGGGAAGTCATGCAGAAGGTGATTGCCTCTGTGACTGTATGTGCCCCCCCCCCTTGACAGCATGCACAGTATGTCCATGTCCGTGTGTGTGTCCATGTCTGCCTGGGTTAGGGTGGAGCATCGTGCGATGAAATCTGGTGTCTATGAGCAAATGTGGGCACCGCAGCCACAGAGCCACTAGTCCTCTAACTACTAGAGGTAAAACATTACTGGCCAGTATGGGCTGAAATTGCATGGCTGGTTTAACTGGTTTTTCGGGTGAAAAACAGAGAAAAACTCCAGATTATTTTCCATGCCCACAAAGACATCATTTATCATCTGACGAGATAACAACATAGCCAACATGTCAACAAAATAAATCTATTCAAAGTTGCCACGGAAACTGAGCAGATACATCCCATTAGCTGTACTAACTTGTACCAAAACAAACAGCAAACATTTCAGCACAGCACACTGTGTGAATCTCATGATGCTGGTGATCGATATCGTTCTTGCTCCATTAGCTCAAATACAAAAGTGAGACTGTGAGGTTTGGAAACTTTGGGTGAAATGTGCACAGTGAAGGACAGAGTGCAGGATTTTGTACATTTGAGGGCTAGGCCCTCTGAGACTCTGTGCTTTTTTGCAATCAACCTACTTGTGACACGTACACCAAGCGAAAGTGGCAATGAAGCCTAAAATGGCCTCTCTTCTCCTTTTGTTAACCGCCTAACTTTTTCCTCATTTTAAATCAACTCACATCGCACTCGCAGCTGCACAAAGCATTAGGCACCACTTTTATCTTCCTCATTACATGTGTTTGCCAGCTCCATATCTGCCCATTCGCACAACTGCTCTCCCTCTCTCTTTCACACACATACGTGCTGCAGGGCTGTGGTTTTCAGGCAGCTATGACACAATCCAGATTCTTTTAGCTGCTTATAGCAGGGAAATGTGCTTTGTGCGGAGCTCTTTCCCTACCAAGTCCAGATTTTCCCTGCGTTGCAGCTTTGATCCACATGGCACGAGGGGCTTGTGTCAACAGTCTTGTGTTTCAGCTGGAGGCACGGCAGACCGCCAAGATGTCATTGAATTAATTTCAGGGACAGCTTTACCACTTAGAGGTGCTGTTACCCACCACATCCTCAATCACCCCCCCTCTCCAATGTAGCCAGCATCCTGAGAGACAGGTGAGCACCCATATATATGTACATGGCTACCAAGCATGTAGTTCCAGGAGGTTTAATGCTGAAGTCGTATGTGTGCTTTAAAAGTATTACATGTTAATGTAATCTAAATGATTAAATTTAATGACAGGAAGGAAGTGGGAAATATTTGCCTAATAAAAGAAGAGGAGAAGAAATTCAAGTGACAAGAAACTGACTGAATTATAAAAAGAAGGAGAATTGGATACAAACATCCTCATAGCTGCTGTTTTAGAGTGATTGTGTAGCACTTAGCTAACAAAATAATAAAAAATGAAATAAATAAATATTTCAAAAAAGATAAATGAATCCTAAATTATAAAGGAGATTTGGTGGCGAGAGATTGGCTTACTGGTAGATGTCTTTTCGCAGCACAGTGCGGGTCAGCGGGTTATCAGCCTGAGGAGCCATACTGAGGGAGCCTAGCTTCAACACCAAGGTGTCTTCCTTCTTCATGTGGGAATCTACCAGGACACATACAAATACACAGAACACTAAATTAAGCACACCACCTACAAAGGAGAAGAAATGGTTTGATGCAGAAAAATATATTGCTGATTTATAAAAACAAATGAAGTCAAAGCATATGATAATTGATAGTGGCAGAATTCATTAGTGTTATTATTTTTACAGTAATAAAAGTTTTAATCAGACCTCATTATATATACTGTACTATTCTGTCTCATATATCTTTGCATCCCGTTGTGGAGGCTCTATAATGTCTTTAAACAAAGTAATTCTCTAACCTGACCCAAGCTGTTTGTCTTGTGTCCCAGGGCAGAAGACCCTGATCACACTTGTGTTGATGTAGATGAGAGGAAGACATCGAGAGGTCAACGTGTGGCTTCTCATTGGCTGACCTGCTGATTTCCCACGCTCTCTGTAGCGTCTTGGTACCTTCGCCTGAAAATTTATGAAGCCAAAAGTACAGGTGATGTATTCAGAAGATCAAGGTTAGCTGGCTTCTTAAACTGCATCAAATTATTTGAACTGGCTTATTTTTTTCCAATATATTTCATCTATTAATGTTAAAACTGATTAAAAAGCATCAGGATTTCAATTCCTGTGCCCAATACTTTTTATAACTATATTACAAAAGGCTACACTTAAATGAAAAGACATTTGTGATGCTGTTTATTTCCCACGTGGGCCCAGCGTTAACAAACTTCACAGTTATTAGGACTGACAGACATTTTTTGCTACCTGGAACACTCCTGCTACAGTGGCCAGTAAGGGACAGGACAGAACCACATCAAACGGCTGGGCTGTCAGCAGGATTTCTCTCAGGTACAGCGGCGAGCTGTCTGCCAGAGGATCAGTGGTCACCTGCTGATTGGCAATGGTAGCACTGCTGCGGGTTGGCCGCTCAGGCCGAGTGGTGAGTTTATGACGGACATTTTTGGTGATAGCTTGCGTGTAGGTGATTGACAGAAAGCCGTGCTGCTGGTGAGAGCCCTCCAGGACTTTAGCTGCCGTCTGGCCAGCAGTAAGACAGGACAAATCACACATGAGCGATATCACACAGGAGTCACATGCAAATAAAATTCATTGTTTATTGTTTAGACTAATTTTGTAGGTAAAGGTTAAACCAGAATAAAAATAATAATAATAACTTCTTGAGCTATTTTTCTCAGATCGCATTTTACTTTGAAATATTTTTTACCAAAAAAATTCAAGAGAATCACGTTGGAATCGATGATCTATTTAGTTTAGAGGATTAGATTTACACTTTCCCCTTCGATTTCTGAAAAACCTGACATCACTTTTTCATATATAGCTCAAAAAGCATGCAAAGCTTCCATTTTATTACTTATTTGAAAAACAATTATGGGGTGAAAACAATTAAATACAGAGTACCTCTGAAAAAAGAAGTTTCATCCTAAATGTTTAATGATTAAAAGACAAGCTGATTGATTATAGGCATCAAGGTAAAGTGCTACAACATCCAGTAACAGTGGATTAAATAGCTGCTGACAAAAGGATTCATTAACTGATCAGTTTCTAAGGTCTGCACCCTTTTAGGAGACTTCCTATTAAACCTAAATAAATACAAAGAGACCCAAATAGTGATGTTCAGACTATCTACCTGATCTATTCCTCAGAGACAAAGTGCTGTATGTGACTTTTTGTAGTTATTTTAATTACTTAAACTATTTTTTTATCTATTGTTGTTCATAGAATGACAGTTTTGTACTGTCCTGGTTTAAAAGCATATTTAAAATTGATTTACATCAGAAGCCTTCGATTCTGAAACACCTCTGAGGAACATACAGAACTCTATTAAGCCACTGTTGATGGAGGGAAAAAAAAAGAAGAGCGGGATTCTTACAGGAGAGAAAAAGCCAGAGAAGTGGCTGAAAGACTCTTGCTTGCTGACGGGTCGAACCAACACAGTGCGTCTGTTCAGCTTGTCAGTGCAAGAAAGGACCACTCCTCCACAGCCGCCCGAGCTCCGAACACCCTCCTCCATACTGGAGGGAAGGAGAGAAAGGAGATGCAGAAAAGAACAGAGGAGAAGAAGTCACACAGAGAGGGCGGAAAAGATGAGGGAAAAAAGCTATAACTAGAAGAAGATAATTAAATATAGAATAAACTGATTAAACCCACAGGAAGCTGCTCCAGCTTGAACCAACTGAAGTATTACATTGTCATGGTCTTATACTATCCAGCAATAAAGATGTTGAAGCAACTGTTTCAGTTGTGTTTTGAATGAAAAGTACACTTTAAAAAAACGAAGATTCAAAAGTTTTCTTTGCTTTAATGTTTAATAATTTTAGTTTCTATTCATTATCATCTGACTAAACTGCATAATTATGGTCAAATCTGTGCTAACTGACACATTTTCATTTGCTTGCCAGTATAAGACCATCACCAGAATGAAATTTGTCAACAAGAAAAGGGAATGCCCATGTTTTAGTCTCCTCCAGCAGACACAGAGAAGAAAGGCTCTCAATATTTTTCATTGGTTTGATTATTCAGCTAGTCAGAAACACTGGAGAGACAGGTGAGTGTTACACCATGAGCAAAATGTAATTCTGTGATTATATTTCCACCTGTTTTGATGTTATTAATGTGTTCATCATAGCCAAACACAATATTTTGTCATTTATCTTCCTTTAGTTTCCTGTCTCTCCAGCACGAGAAGAGATAAGTGACCTTGATTAGGAGCAATAAGATGGCGAGGCGCAGTATAAAGAGACCTAAGGCTGCCATAGCTGTTCTGAGATAGGCAGAGGCCTCACCACAGATGTCTCCTTGCACTGCAGAAGGAGTCCTTCATAGGTGCCACAGTGCCAGACCTGCCCTGGCCTGGAGAGAGACACAAGGCCCATCTTAAAACAGTACCTGGGATTACTCGTGTTGCTGTGCCAGGGCCTGAAAATGTCTCATCAATGGCAAAATACAAAAGTGAACCACAGGCCGATGCTAACATTTTTATCAACCTACTAAAGTTACACACCCCTATAAATTTTATATACTAAGATTATTTGATCTTTTCATTTATTACTATAGCCATACATAAGAAGCAGAAACCACAAATAACATGAACGCAGACATAACAACACAACAATTACCATCCTCAATTTGCAGTCCCACAAAAAAACAAACATAAAAAACTACCCCAAATCTGGAAAATGTGAAACACACACAAATAGTATCAAATGGTGCACAATACATTATGGCAAAATGCTTCGCACAGTGGAAATGGTTCAATACCATCAGCATCTTTCCTTTTAGTAACCCTCTCACTCACCTTGCCCACCTCTCACTTCATTACACCCCATTAGTATACTGAGAGTTCAGCGAGAGTGGAATGGTCCCAGCGGTGAGTGTGTTTCTGTGTGTTCCCTGCATTGTTACATAGTGTGCATGTTCTTTCTTTGCACACTTGTGCCAATATATCTTTGTAATCTGCTCTCTCACTTGTGAGAGTAACTAATCGACACACGGACCCCCCACGGCTCCTCGGCTCTCTTTTCTCCCTCTGTGCTTCCATCCAGTCATCCTTCGCTGCCTCCTATTTGTGGAACAGCTGGAAGACATCAGCTCCAATTTGCGTGAGATGCTCAACAGAGTGAATAAGGGTGCGCTGTATCTCGGGAGCATCTCTGTGCTACAGTTAAATGTACGTCTTTCCGACAACATGGCAAATAGCCTTACAGAGTCCACCACTCTGCCGCCTTTTTGCCTTCATCTCACTTCGGTTTCCCTCCTCAGCTTTATAATAAGTGAGCCCAGTACCGATGAGGTGCAACACCCACCTAATTTGTCCTCCCTACAGACTACTTCTGTCATTTTCCTTCCCCCCTGCTCACTTTTTCTGTCTAACTCCAATTTTGATACAATCACAAAGTCAGTTATATATTTACCTCCCATATTTACTTGCCCTATCTAACTTTCCATTCATTTTCCAGCAGTGAGATAGCAAAGGCCAGATGAGGCATTTTCTCTGTCAAGCTTGATCTAATCTAACCCACTGCACACAAATAACCCGGGTTGGGTGATGAAATACCAAACAATTATCTGTTCAGAATGATTAATATGGACTCCACTGGATGTGGGCTCTCTTGTATTTGTGGATGACGGGGATTAGATTGGGCCCGCAGCCCAGAGGTCCTCCACTGTGTCCTAAACAGCCATGACTGTAACCTGGCTTGGATAATAAAGTGCTTCTGCCTGCCAGAACATTGTTCAGTGAAAGTGTGTTGGGACCTCGTTGTTTAATTCACATTAAACTGAAATAACCTAGAAATGAGAAAATTGACTTATTATCTACTTAGGAAGGCATAGAGGTCTAGTAAAAAGATTAGGCTTGGCGCTGCCTCAGAAGCAATTAGACACACACCTGTGGAGAGCAGAACCGCACGATATAATGACCCAAAGCACCTTCACTCTCTAAAAATGTCTAACCGCTGACTTGGTCCTGGCTTAAACTGTTACTCAATACTGTACAGAACACATGTGGCCTGACGGAATATAAATTAACCAGCTACAGCAAAACAGGGAGGTCTGTGAGACGCCTGTTAGACAGTCAGGTTCACAGCCAAGGCAATCAACTCAGTCCCTCTTTGACCTGTAGTGACATGCCCAAGATCCAGATAAGATGATTTTAAAATCTGGCAAATCAGCATCGGTAGCTATTATCATATCGATGCTGAGACCGTTGATTGCTAATGATGGGGTCCAGTACAGGCTCAGGGCCCATGAAGATCAATCTCTCTTTCGCTGTCTGGCTCGATCAGAGCATGAGACACTTACAGGGGTGTATCTACACCGACACTTATGAACGTACACTGCAAAATACACACAAAAATAGTCTGCCCGCTGGATGCAACATGCAGCAGTGTTAGATCGCTGTTTCATTATCTCCTCAGACAGAGACAGGGGGAATTGCCTCCTGCTAAGCGGTCTCTTCCCAACAGAACAAGACTTCAGGCACGTACAAAACATGCCTTTGGAACTGCTGAGTTTATCGCCGAGGTATGAGATCGTAGCACGGAGAGAGAAAACTAAGGATTTAGACACTGAAAATAAAGTCCCTCTTCAATTAATGGGAGACACATGTATGTGGGGCATGGGAAAAAATCTGTACTTTCATTTCAAGCTCCTCCATGCTACAGTATTTTCTTTCATCATTTCAGAACCCAGAGCTAAATTAGCCCATTGTGACTGTAACTTGACATGGGAAGAGATTACCATAAAGATGCAGTGGAACGTCGCCCAGTGGTTTTCCTCCCCTAACAACGTGTTAATGTTTCTGTGAATCAATTCAGACACCGCAGACAGAAAGAAAATGACTGACGGACTGACTGAACTACCGCTCTGTGAGTCAGAGTTGGGCCGGCCCAGAATCCATTCAGCGCGTCTATCTAGTCAGTCGGTCCATCTGTCTGTTAGTCTGTGGTCAACACCACAACAGCTGTCTGGAAAGACAAGGACGTTGAGGCGATAATCCAGAAAATTATATGAGCAGAAGTGGGAACAGACCAAAGTGGCAGTACTGGTGGTAAAAGTGTGTGTGGGATTGCAAGAGCACAAGCGTAAGGGGGCTGCATGTTGTCCTGGAGGATAAATGTGGGATCCCAGGTTTTACTGCAGTTGAGTCTACATAAATTACTTACAACATTTACTACAAAAGCTTCCAGGCTAAAAACTTGTGGGGGGAAAAACCTATGCAGACCTATCCAAGGAAAAAATCAACAAAGCTCCTTAGTAAGACGTCAACAACAGAACAGAACATCAGATATCCTTGCTGTAAGGTGCCAGGGGTTCAGGCTTTTCCTTTAATTTGCTCTGTCTCTTTACATGCAGTAGATCCCCTCGTACCTGCATATGTAGTGGTCGATGTTGAAGCTGCCAACTTTACATTTGATCTTTGTATAGACATCTTGGACATCCACAGAGGCACTCAGGTCTTCTAGTTCACTGATGACGCAGATCTCTGGCAAAGACAAAAACAGAAGAGAATATAATATAATAATAAAGACATACATTTACCAAGAAGCTCAAATTTGTATCAACTCTTAGTTTGCAATATTCTGTGGCCACCCTAGCACTTCACAAACAGGCATTACAGCTGAACTTGGACTGCATGAGAGGAAGTTTAATCTGTGCGAGTGAATTTCATTAGCCTATCCAGGTCTTGCCTTTGGCCATAATCCGGCTGCTGTGGTCAGTTCCTGCACAGTGGATGCTCAGTGTGTTTTTGAAGCTAGACCAGTGTTGCTGATCAAGACTGAAGCCACACAGATACACACACACACACGCACATAGAAAAATGTGCAAACGCATGCAGCATTTGTATTGGTATGCCTGGCTGTGTTTCAGTGCTCTGTTTGTATTTCAGAAGGCAAAGCATCTTCTCAGTTTAACACGATATCCAACTGGCCCCAGAACCCTCAATCTGTCTTAATGAGGAAAGAGAGGGTGAATGTGTATTTACGCAATATTGAAAAGCATGTGGACTCTCCTGTGTGTATTCCTAAGGTTGCATGTGTGTACCTCTGAGCACCTTGTGTGCAAACAAAATTCACCCACTGCAGGCAAAGTGAGTAAGGTTCATAGAAGGACTGATTAACTTTGTACTGAACCGAGCTTGTGAGCTTAACTGTTGAGTCGCTCTCATTGTTTCCACTGAGAAAGTCCCACAATCACAGACTAGCTTGGGAAATTGGACATTGTACATCTGAAACTATGGTTGCTGTTGTACTGTTGCCTTGTGGTAACTGAGAAATGTAGATGTTCCTAATAGCTTATTAATATTGAAACACAAGGCTTTTCAGCTTTATTGTGGATACCGCGTGGAAAAAAAACCTCTCCCAAGTTGTTTGATACTCAAAAAGTCATAGTCTCCAACACAGTGCTGATATTGATATATGAGTTTTCTAAACCCACCCTGTGAGAGTACTGGAAACCCTTAGTCCCTTCATCTTAGAATGGCTCATCTTGAAAGGCAGAACGTGTACCACTGATTTGTGCCTTCAGCAAAAGCCTCTAAACACTCACGCTTCAATTTCTACCTCTAAACTTCCAACACATAAAAGCATAACATTATACCGGAAAACCAATACGTCTGGAACGGCTATTTTTCCATTTCTCTGGAAAGACAAGAATGTGATTTCCTTTGCAGCTGAAAAACATTACATCATAACAGTTTTTCGCAGTCTTATATGTGATTTATCTCCAACAATGCATTTGTGATAACAAGCGTCTAAAAAAAACTGCATGCGCACAATTGTTGCTTTCAATTAAATACTTAATGTGCTGCACACAGAAAATCCACGGGTAAGATCATTTTGCAACTCAGATGGCACATATTAAGCCCAAATCCAAAGTAATGCCTATTTAGGATGTCTTTAAATCAAACCATCTCTGTGAGGTCCTCAAAAACATTCCATTTCCACTATTAAAGACCTTAAGCTGGGTGATCTGGTTGGCAGATGCTAAATATTACAGCCACCAATTAAAGGTGAATCTAGCCTTTCATCGCCCCAGTAAATTTAAAGGGACAAAGAGGCAGTTCGCTTGGGATTCATCACCCATTTATTTATTTATCTTTCCCCTCCACCCCCCTCCTCTCCAGCTGCCTTTCCCTTCTTAGAACTTAACATATGACTGAGAAAGCAGGCGGGCACCGATCCTTTTAAGTGTTAATATAGAAAACCTTTGAATACTGTTTTGCTCTCATACACAGCAAAATGAAACTTTTTTTTTTTCTTTTCGTCTGTCCCGTTTGGTTCTTTTGCCATCAAACTGAAACATTTTCATGAAAAACCTTCCAACTCTTTTACACTTGTTTTATTGTATAATTTCGATAACACTTTAAGGAGCTTGGAAAGAAAAGCATCTGGACTCAGGGTAGTCCAGATGCTTAATCACCCTGCCTAATCACAGAAGCCAAGGTGTAAAAACGGGTGTGGGTCACAATCAGCCGAGGTTTCGGGTGACCTAGCCCCACCCTATCATGTGACTTTCTGAGGTCAAATGGCCCAAGATGTGAGTGGGCATTAAGGCATCTGAAAAGGGATCGCAAAACTGTATTATAGATGGCAGACAGTTGGTGTTGTAAACCATCGCCTCTGTTCAAAGATGGTCGTCTACAGTGGACATAGATGGCTTCTTTCACTCCTCTTTCAAACCATCTGTCCAAAACGTGAACATTGGCATCCTCAAAAGAGGATGTCCTTTGTCCTTTAGATGTAGATGAACAGCCGAGTCTTGTCGAGGTGAGTCATCTGTTGTGCGTTTATGAAATGGCTGTTTGATCTTTCCAGTGTAGAGGTCTGAGCATTCCTCGCTACACTGTACAGCATACACTACGTTGTTAATTTGGTATTTGGGATGAACTGAAGAAGCTTCTCGGATGAAATGAGGTGAAACGTCTTCAAGAAACTTAAAGAAGTCCAGACGCTTTTCTTTCCAAGCTCCTTAGACTATGATGAGCTGGATGACTGAGAACCTTCACAGACATTTTTAATAACAGTTACTAAACATGTTTTTGTGTAGTCGGATGTGGTGCTGTTGATGCTAATGCTCCCCTGCTTCTTTTTCAGCTATTTAACACACACAGACAGACATCTAACACATATCATGTGTTTAGAGCAGAAAGTCATTAACTTAACACCTTAAGTTTGTAATATTCAGCAGAGAAACCGCGGTGACTATGATGTTAAGGTCAGTTACCTGTCTTTTTGGCAGTGGGATCAGGAGCAAACAGTTTAACTGTGACCTTGGGCAACATCCACTGCATCCAAAGGCTGACCTTCCCACTGGTTCCACCAATGCTGCTAGTTTTCTGCTCCAGTGTCACCGTGTCTGCAAACGGACCGTCATCTCCTGCAGTCACCGAGTCGCCCTAGAGAGCCAAAGCAGAACTGTTTTTTGGACAGAATAAAATGGTAACCAGCCAACAAACTTGAGGACCATAATGTAATTCACACATTAATATTGAATTCTGATATTTGTCCAATAAAAATAAGGAGAGAAATGCCTGTCACTTAAAATGTCAATTAGCCAATTACAAAGCACATTTCAGCCAATATACTACATAATTTGCTAAAAGATATAACAACTAAACACAACCAAATAAGAAGAAGAAACACAAAGAGCATTTAACTTAAAATTCCTGTTTGTTTCCCATCATCATCGAGGACTGTGTGCTTGAGTGCATGTGTTTGTCCATGTGTTTGGTGAATGTGTATGTTTGAAAGTGTTGTCGCTGTGCATGTAGCCATAACAAAGCAACCACCAAATATTGAGCCTTTTAGTGCATAGATGACATCAGTGTCTGGTGAGCAGAACCCCACGCAGAACAGAGAAACGTGTGTATGTCGGGAGGTGGGTGGGGGGGTGCATTGTGCAAAGCTGTCACCGGTGTTAACCCCAAAGTAAGCCACCAGCACCCACATGGCCTCCTTTCACTCAAGTGCGCCAGGACACACACGTCTTGCAGCCTGGGAGAGAATGGGAAGTGAAGACCGGAGGTGGGGGCGGGAATGGTAGGGGGGGAGAGTGAAGCTGAAAAGCAAGCAGGATGCGGTGGAGCAGGATGCCTTCTGTGAGCTCTCAACTCATTACTGGGGATTTGGCAATGCAACGAAGATGACAGCACTGGGGACAGTTTTATGTCTCAGTCTCTTCCTGGTAAATATGTTTTCCAAACGTGTACAGTATCTGTGCGGCTCGCTCGGAAAGTGAAAAGCCTACAAACAATATTGCAATTAGGAGTTTCATTTTTTCCGCGGCTTCTCCCATCGCAGTGTGGTAATGACAGATTGTGTCATGGTTATCAACTGTGGCTCTGTTTGGTGAGGAGGTTATCAACCATCTCAATTAGAAACCCCACAGCTGCTATGCTGATTACAGTGTTGTAAAGAGGATCCAGATGAGGAAACTATGTCCCCTTTCCACAGCTGGGGGGAGGGATGAGGGCCCGAAACTAATTTGCAAATTTAATTTAATCACACAGTTAAGGCTGGTTGACAGCAGAGCATGATAAGAACGGATGACAATAATATAAATAAATTAAGGATTATGTCGATTCAAAAATAGATGCAACGTCACAGTGTATGGGGACCACTAGGAACTGATGAGAAGCATGTGCTTCACACACTAGTTCACACTGTGAGAAAAGGAAAGCAACAAAACACAGGCGTGAACGTATCTAAGAAGATGAGGATTTAATTCCTACCTTTGATAAAATAGCTATACATACACTTATGTAACTAAATAAACAATGAAACCCACTGAAAATCGGGAACTTAAATACCATCATTATTGCATAAATGCCACAGTGCTAACTACACTAAATCTTTTGTGTTTAAATTACTTAAATAATGACTGTAAAAGTATCATTAAGTGTCTTCATCAAACTAATCTGTCAAGTTCCGCAAATGTGTGCACATATGTGAATGTGCGTCCGTCTTTCTGAGTGTGTAATATCGCTGATTGGCAGTGAGTAATATGAGACTAGCAGTAATGGTGTTCAGTCAGTCTCAATGAGAGATATTCTGGTGTCAACTGCCATTTGGGGACTAATTATTGTTGAGATGAAGTCAAAATATGGCTCTCTCTCTGTGTGTGTGTGTGTGTGTGTGTGGTTAGGATTGTTTAGTTTACAGTTCTAACCATTTGGTAGGATTAGTCTCTGTAACATCATGTGTGGAAACAGGAGCCAGTTGCTGGCGCTGTGGGAACCAACCACCATGTACTGCAGCGTGGTTGTGTGCGAGCATTGGACACTCGACTGCTTAAAGCTTCCAGGCCAGAACTACTACTGTCATCTTTAGAAAGCTTTTCCTCGTGTAAACCACAACAGTCACAAGTAACAAGTAATTATGAGCTTTTTAATGTCATTCTTTTCTGCCATGTCAAATTGCATGAAAAAAGTACTGTCTATATATTATTAAACATGGAAAAAATTTAGTACAGGTACTGTAATTTTTAAACAAGGGGGGAAATAAGTTAGACTTTAACTATACAACACATATTAAAAGCATCTTTAAGGGTGAAAAAGGGGAATTCAAAAATAAAAATGATATTTATTTTTTTTAACTGACAAACAAAAAAAGCCAGGGTAAAAGTTGAACTTTTTTTAGTGTCTTATCAAAGTGAGGTCTTGGTGTGGTTTTGGTGACGGTGGGCTCTGCTACGTCCCTGAACTGCCAGATCAGGGCCCCAAACAATCACACACTTTCTAGAAGTATTTTCCCACACCTCCGCAAGCCAAGTTGTAAAGTATACAGTTTAATTCCTGGGCCTCTGTGCTATAAACGGGCTGAGGATCCGGGTTTATTTTCTCTGCAGAGTTTGTCTTTGCTCATCAGAGAGACCCAAACATTGGAAGACAACAGCAGGCTGGGACGTGTCAAAGGAAGAAGTAAAGGATGATTATGAAAAAAGAGAATGGCTCAGGCACAGGTGGAAGGATAATTTGAAGGAGAGGAAAAGGAAACTTTCAGACTGAAAATAGTACAGAAAGAAATAAGAGTGCTGCTTGATACCACTTTAGATAGAGAAGCAGTGAATAAGAAGAGGGAGAGCAGAATGCTTGGGGGCACATGGAGGAAAGACAGAATAGGGTGACAAGTAATTACAGACATGGAGAAAGTAAAAGAAGAGAACCTGGATCTTTGACTGCTAATGGTAGAAATATCTGCTTTTTCTTCGCCTCGTGGTGCTCAAAGTACCAAATAATTCTTAAAACACAGTGGCAGTGTTTCCAGAAATCATTAATTGGTTAAACTTTTAAACCTCGTTGTGACCAGTTTCATGCAGGAACTATTTACTTTCTAACAAACAACTCCAGCAAAACTTAGCAGAAGTTGCCCCCTTGGAAAATGTAACACTGTTGCCTTAAAGTAGTGAGTCATTATTAGAGAATCATCGCTCCTAATAGTGCAGGTAAACTACTGGTGGTCAGGCGAGCCACACAAGTTGGCGACAAAAGTTGTAAAAATAATCTCAACAGATTAAAATCATCATCAGAGGAAAGAGAGCTAAAAGGTACGATGAACAGGAAAGTGTGGCGAAACAATAAAACGGCTGAAAGGGGAATGTCTGTTTATTAAATACTATGTTGTGTAAATTAATAAATACTAGTAGAACACTTGTTTACAAAATACAGAAGTATGAATATTATGCTTTATATTTTTACACAAAGGGGGAAGAAAATATCTGGGAGGACAGTAGGGCAGAGGTTTTTGTGGGTGTAATGTGAATGTAGCTAGAGAAAGAAAGGGTGGGGTGTTGGGGGGGAGACTGCCGCCACTACTGCTGAGACTTATCAAAACAGCTCCTACATTCTTGCTCAATCACTCGGCCTCCCAGAGGACTAAACACTTCTACCAGTGTTTGTACTTAGGTAAACAGTGACAAGTGGGCTGTCAGGGGCCACTGTGGCCTTGCTATAGAGGCACTATACCAGGTTCTTCACAGTTCTACTGAACTGCTGCCACTTCTCCAAGTTCCACAAATGACGCAAGAACACCCACATGTCGATAGCAAGGAAACAAATGTAGGCGCAGATGCACACTGACATATGAAACACTTTTTTTCATAAGCATGTACACGCTATTGCCTCTTAGGCCAGTATGGTGGTTGTATTGCGATCCCTGGGGCCCCACAGTGTCGACAGGGAGCTGCTGGTCAAACACTATTATAGCCTAGACTAGTTTCCACTATGCCAACACTGACCAGCAGTCACTATCATTTTTATAAATGCTACATTTATGCTTCACAAAAACACACACAGACATATTATCCAGTGTCCTGGTGGCCCCAAGGCCATGGATCCCCAGCACTGATTGCTGCTGCAACAGTATTACACAGCAGGAAAAACTCCTGCCACATTAACTAAAGATGGGATAGCTGCCACAACCATCTAGAGACAAAAGGGAAAAAATTATATTTGAGGCTACTCCCTAAGAAAATATGACTTTAATAGCCTTCGTTATTGCACATGCATATGCACTGCTACATTTCAAACTCATGTCTGGGTTTGATTTTTAATCTGAGTAAAAAATGTAACTGCAGGTAACTATTTTCCCCCAGTTAAGAGGCAAGTTTATCCTCCATTAAGGCTGAGCTTAAACGAATCAAACAGCACTCTCTGCCTAGCCTTGAGTATAAAACCTCACTGAGTGAGAAAAAATCATGTAAGAAACACAAGCAGTGATTTATATTTTTCCACCTCTAAAGTTTTTCCAGAAACAAAACATTTTTTTGACAAATCACATGTGTTAAGAGTGACTCAGCTACTCATAACAATAAAATAACAATATTTGCACTTAAAATTGTAAATCAGCACCAGAATTATGTATACAACAATGGCTTAAATGGCATTTGTTACTGCATGACTCACAGCAGCTAGCTGAGAAAAGATGGGTGCTGGCAGGCTGTCTTAAGGTCGCATATTAAAAAAGTAACACAACATTAAAGCTGGAACACTGATTCTGACAAAGGCAAAGTTCATAAGTGACTAAGCCAGTGCTATGTATGGACAGACATTCAACTGAATGAATGAGTGAATGAAATAACGGACCACTTTATGTGTTTTTTCCCCTGATTATGAAAAGAGGTTTGTCTGGATGAAAAAAAACAAAAACAGTGTAGATGAGCAGATGATTCCCATAACTCATATAAACTCTGAATTGACATAATAAAAAGTGTAACTGTGAGAAACTCCAACCTCAGTGGGGGAGCCAAAGTCTGCAGAAGGACTGCAGGTGCTGGTGTCAGGCAGGGCGGTGCCAGCGCTGCTGCGTACAGGGGAGGATGGAGCGGCACCGGCAGGCGGGTCTGGGATGTTGGACGTCTGACGCAAAATGCCATGCCTCTGGAGACGAGCCCACGTTGAGCTCCAGCTGAGGAAGAGCTCATACAACAACTGAACCTGGAGGGTGAACCAAGCAGAGATAAACAGAGAACGTTAGTTTGTATTTTGTAATTATGGTTGAAAACAATTATAAAGACAGTTTACCAGCGAAACAATTTTTGGTTTCTCTGTTTGGGGGGAAAAACACTCATTTTGAATGGGAAGTGAGGACTGTTTATCACTATGTTGCATCATCTCCTTGTTTAACAGCACTTGTTTGGAAACTGAGAACATATTAAACACGTATCATTTAGTTTTGCCAATTAGCTTCTATACTCTGAAAAGTATTCTGTGCCAACTGAGTGCCTCAAAAGATAACCCTAACACACCACAAGTAGTCAAAACCAAATTCAAATGTATTTTTTTTTTTGCCAAGGTCTGACTCAAACAGCTGCACTGGGGAGTTCTCATGTAGTTCTGACTTCTGAGGCCATTACCATGATTTGGCTTGGCAGCTTTGTTGTTATGTGACACTAAACCTAGTAAAAGCTGAGAGAGAAGGAAAGGGAGAAAGAGGAAATATTAGCCAGAAATGGACTTCTATCATTCTCATTCTTTCACTCTCTGACTTAACATACTTCTGTACTTGTCACTCAGAGAGGCCTCGTTTCACAAAAATGATGTAAAACCTATGCGTTGGTGTTTCTGTTCGATGGGTCACACTTTGCGAGGCGCAGCATGCTTACACACGTGCTTCACTGTGCAATTTGTTATCCATAACAACAAAACTTCCAAAGAAACACCCTCAGAGGAAAGTTAAATTCTGTCATCAATTTCCTGCTAAAAACTCACCACGATTAGGAAAAACTGAAGGCTCTGCGTCAAGTGTTCTCAGCTATTTATCATGTGTTCGCATTGAAAAGAGCCTTAGCTTTAAACAACAACAAAGCCAAAAAAAAAAAAAAGGAGTGGAAAACATGAGACGAAAGCAGGGGAATGTGATGTGATGCTTTCGGTTATTCATGCATTCACTTGGTGCTTTTTAGGAGGAAAGAAGGGAGAAAAGCAACACGCTTTCACAGTGAGCTAATTTCTGGATTTCAAATGCTTCGCTTCTGCAGCCAGCTAAGCCCGCAGCCCCCACCACTGAGGGTCCCTTAAACTTAAAGGTGCACAGGCACATGAGCACACATACGAAATAGACTCTGAGCACATTTTTACTCTCAGAGTCTCGCTCGCACACATGCTCTCCTGTTAGCGCACACATTGCAGGGAGGTCTTCCACAAATAATCATAAATCAAATTAGAAGCACCACAATACATTACAGCTGCGCCATTTCAAACATGTCCAGGAAGAGCTGCTACGCCGATTCAGCCGCTGTCCAGGGACAGGGCCAACAGCTGTTTGCCATACCCAACCAAACTGCACTGCCGGCAGGGGAGGTACGGCACCGTGCTCCCTTCTCTGAGAGTTGGGGCCTGGAACTCCAATCAAGCACAACAAGGCCTACTGCACTCAGTAGCAGATGTGGAAGAAAAGACTGAAGACTGCTGAGCAAAGGGGAAAAAAAGGGAAAATGTGTGCACAGTGAGATCAACACGAAAATGAATGACAGGGTTGTTACGTGACCTCTGTATTAGCATCTGGGATAAAGACTTGTCCTTAATTTTATGATGAAACTTAAGCGGAGCTTGAACTCCTTTCCATCCAACTTTTCATCATTGATCTTCATTCTTCATCTCCTACCTTCCCTCTGTTATTTACCCTGTCCTATGTCAACTTGCTGCTGCTGATATTTCTGCTTAGCAGGGTTAGACAGTTTAGCTCAGCTACTGCTATTAGGGTAGGTTGGGCCATGAAAAACATGCACACACACACACACACGCTTACATGAGCTTATAATACAGATGCAACATTTCATGAGTTGGGGAACATTTGGAGGCCTGGATTCTCCAAAGGCCTGTCATCTGCAGATCAGGAGGCCTGTTAGGGTGCAGTACTACAAACTGGAGACTGAACAGAGGCTTCCAACAGTCATTCATAAAAACACACAGATGGAGAGGGACAGGACAGCATGCAGATGGCGAGTGTTTGTATCCTTTTATCTAGCAGCAGTTTATAGAGAAACTTCACAAAAATGACATATTGTTGAGTATGTGTGGTAACTCTTGTGTACACGGGAACAGGTGTGTGCATATCTGTTCATTGAAATGCTGCACAGTTATGTGCCAAAGGTTAAAGCAAACAGTTGCGGTGTGTACGCTCGTTCCAAGGTGGTCCTGATAATGTTAAAGCACAACTAGTAACCCCAACTTTCAGACAGCCAGTCAGTCAGTTTGTTGAAGTAATATGGAGACGTTTAACTCCTCCTGTCCAGACTGAAAGGCATACAAGTGTCATATGGACTGTATTGGTTTCTCATTGCTCACACTTTTGCGGACGTGGTTGAACCTGCACAATCCAAAATTCATTAGGAAATTTGCATCTTCACGTGTACTGTCACAGTCACAGATAAAAATACTAAATACGACTACGATACTAGTTGCTACCTGTGAAAACGCACCACGGTGTTTGCTTGAAGGCTCGACTGTTTCACCACACTGTCTAAAAATACTTTTGTTAGTGCTATGAAGTAATCCATCATGTAATGGAAATGGAAAATCTGACTTAATGTGACAAACATGCAGTCGAGTAGCCGTGGGGAAATTTAAGGGCCCAAATTTGTTGCTTCTATTTGTTTACTTTAAATGTATTAATATCTCAAAATCAGCGCTGTGATAATTTATTTGTTTTGAAACGGCAGATGTAATTTTACCCCCAAAATCCAACAACCATTGTACTTATTGTACAGTAACTGTGCAGCATTCTGACAACCCCGTATATATATTCCCCCAGATGGCAACGCTAATTAGAAAGACGATCAAGTAGTGTGAGGTCTCTTTTGTTCTGGCGAGGGTGGGGTTGCTCTGGCAGCAGTTCTTAAAAAGCTGCAGTGAGACTTGAAACTGCATTAGCTTATTACCCCCCTCAAGTCAGAAATTTTACACAGAAGAGGGAGGTGAGCAGATGGGATGACAGAGCAAAGGAATTACGATTTTTTTTTTTTTATTATAATGGCATCCAAAAACTAATAATGACTCATCATATAATCACAATAAGCCTCCCCGGCTTTGCCAGACACCAGCAGCATACTTGACGGGGAGAACAGAGAAGCAAGAAAAGAAACTTTCCCTCAGTAAAGTTCTTCTCATCTCTGGGAAAATTTTTACCGCAAGCAGATTAAGGCCTTTAATTCGTTTCTGGTACCAATTCCCCTCAATATCACCATGGCTCATCACTGTGGTCGAAGACATTTAACAGTGTGACCGCTCTAAAGGTTGACCCAATTAAGTGTTTACGGAGGAACTTAATTCAATACAGCTAATTCAATTGTGAAAAAACAAAACATGTGTAATGGTACATGTAGATGTGATTCTACGAGAGAAATGAAAAACAACACAGGGACCTAACTGGGAGACAAACATGTTCCGTTTGCAGTACGTCCGTATTCATCACAGTCTCGCTAAAACATAATAACATGCTGTAAAACAATGATGGTGAGTACTGCAATCCCTTACTCTTCTTGACTGAGACCTCAAAATGTTTTACCAAAACAAACAAGGCAACACTCTCATGTTTACACTTCCATTTTCATGAAAATTATACGAGTTCAGAAGATGAGGCAGTTTGTTTACTGGACTCAATCTATATCAGAAAATCATGCGGAGGCAGGATCTTCTTGCCAGCGTTCGTGCGTTCATATTTCAGGAAAGTTTACAAGGGGATGATTTGTATAAATATACATGTAATTCTAATGACTACTTTGTGACTGCGAAGACTGTCTGACTGACCTGAGGGTTGGAGCACTTGACGTGGACGGGCTGTAGATCAACATGGAGGCACACTACAAAGGAGTGCCTTCCTTCAGCGGAGCTCTGCAGCTTATGGGATGTGACAGCTAGTGTGGAAGTGCAGCCCATCGGCTCCAACAGGCTCAGGCTTTGCTGCTGGCCCAACAATGTGTATATGCTGAACTGACTCAGGCTGATCGTCCATGGGAAGGCATCACCTGGAGTTAGACATAAAGGAAAAGCAAACGATATATGAAAACAAGTACGTATATCGCAAATGGCAAAGAGATGCAAGGATGACAGACATTATGTGATGTGAGGGCAAAGAGCACAAGCCAAGAATTTCAGAAAGTTCCTGAAAAAGGTCAAGAAGTAGGATGAGTGATTATCACACTCACTATGGTCTCTGGAAAACTATGTGATTCTGTGTTATCCCATTTAACCTAGGTGCTTCTGATTTGTACATATTGTTCTCCATAAGACATGAATAGACCATCTTTCTACAAATCTGCCATACTGTTTATGCCATATGAAAGGCAGCAGTTTTATCCAATATACACGTGTCACACCATAGCACAGAATTCGGCATATTTTGGTCTCTAGAGGTAATAAGGATTGTGTTGTGTTCCCTTTTTGAGAGAATCTGTCACTTAGATTTATTCGCTGAATATAACTTTGCTAATGTCTCTTCAGTGTAACCACGTCTATTTTCAATATTTGTATAGTTTAAAACTAGTATGAATCATAAGCTATGAGCTAAGGTCTCGCTTGGACTTCTTACAGGAAGAAGCAGCTACTTTTTGCTGCTCCCTGGTCACGAGGGCTCACCACAGCGGGTAGCTGCGTATGTTTCATTTGGCAGAGTGTTTTTTTGCTGTACGCTCTTCCTGACACAACCCTAAAAATGATTTATGGCTCCAGCTGGAATTGAACCAGCAACTTTGCCAAATAAATGTGTGAACCGCTTCACCACGAGGTCATCACCTGGTATATTGTGCCACTTAAACTTTGCATGTGGAATGCTGTGGATTGGTAACAGCATAAATACATATAACAAAAATGAGAAGTTTGTATTATTTTATTATTTGCAGTTTACTCCACCGTATAACGAATGGTGTTTCCAAATTCTCGGTCAGAATTTGAATCCAGAACCCCTAAACTTGGATCTCACACCCAGAAAGTCGGAGCACCCACACCCATCCCGAGTTAACAATCCAAGATGGTGGCAGTGAAAGTAAATCGAGGTAAAACTGTAAACTGTATTTGTGACTCAACTAAATAAGCAGAGCACTGACCGGGCTTTATCTTTGAATGTGCTGCAGCACTGGTTTTAAGGCCCCATAATCAAGTATTATATTGTATAGCTAGTGATGTATAAATCGCTCTACCTTGCAAAGAACCAAAACAAATCCTGTTTTTCCTCGCTTTTCTTGGAACAAGCTTACTCAGGAGTGATGTCATTCTCAAGTTCTGAGGTACCTGGAACGTGGGGGCCTTCTTCTCATTTTTCTTCCTTTTTGTTAAAACCCAGCGAGGGCAGCTTTGCCAAATCTTGACAGAGTCTGATTCTAAGATACCTTTAGGAATCCACTTATTTAAATTGTCCACCATATATGGGATCCACAAAATAGACAGCGGTGTGGCTTGAGTAAAAACATTTTTACTGCACATGAAAAAAAACTCGGACATTACATAACCTTTTACTATTGTGAAATGGAAAACCTGAGAAAAGGAATACTGAATAGTTATTTCATCTATAATTGATTACGCCACATCCATTAACCAGATACACAAACACAGTATAAATTGAGGCCTTATATTAAATCTGTGAGTCTGAAACAGCATGCAGCACTGGGAGTGCTTGAACCAATGAACTTGCTGACCCTGGAAGTACCATCTTACAGGCATGAGGAACAGGTTCATTATCACAGGGCCACAAAGTGCACTTTTACCAATACGCCCTTGGCAGGCTGCTTTGATCCCGAGCATTGAATATGAGGGATGAAGACCATTTCAAAGAGTAGGAATGAATTACTAAAAGCATGGGTTGTTAATTTTCACTGCAACATTGACAAGGCAGCTGATGTCACTGTTTTTGCTGTCGTTTTTCTTTCTCCTCTGTTTTTAACAACTGCATGCCCAATGCTGATGTCATTAAAAAGTTTGGAGAAAAGAAGTGTGCCCCCCCTTTTTTCTCCTCCTGAAGAGAAAACATTGCTCAACCATCTAAGTGTTGCTTGTGTCAACTCCACCAGGTGTGCACACCACATGTGCACGATCTATCTCTCAAAGTCGCGCTACTTAAGTTTGTTTGTCTTTTGTCATGGTAAATGAGTAGCAGTGGGTCAAAGGTTTGCTCAGTGTTGAAAAGACTATAATGATGATGAATTGACATTATATATGCTATTACTATTGTGAAATCATACATTTTAATTATTAATAAAAATTTAATGAGTTATTTAAGTGATTAAGTCATATTTTTTTTCTCACTAAGTGGGATTAAATTCCCAAGATTTCCAATTTTAGCTTATGCATCTATCACCACCAGTGTTTCTAATTTCAGCTTTGAAATCACTCTTTTTGACATCACTGTGTATCTGGATGTATGTCCCAGAGTATTTCAATAATTCTAATGAAAGTTTAGATTTCATTAGATGTGGTATGAAAACCTACCTTCTTCCAAGATGGGCTTTGAGACCACAAAGGGGAGCTCCTGTAGTGGTTCCATGTACTTATGCCCAGCACTGAGGATACTAATCTGAGGCAGGCAAACTACCAGAGTCCCAGGCATGGAGGTCTGGTTGTGGTACCAGCTACGCACAGTGCCGGGAATGTCGCCACAGATGATAGTGCTCGGAGAAGGGAGGCTGTCATTGGGGAGGAACACACAGCAGGGCTGCAGCTCCAACTTGAAAAAAGGCAGAAAAAAGAGGGGAACATTAATCATGTTAGCCAATTCAGCCTCACCCGATCAGTAAACAAGCACCTGTCTTATGCCATCCAAGTGCACCAAAGTTCAGTTTTTTTGCCAGTATTACAGAACTTGGACTGTGATGGAAAGAATAGAAGAAAAAAAATTGTGCAACATTCTGGGTGTTGCTGGAAAAGCCTGAACATGGTGAACAATACTTTCCTTGGTTTAAAAAAGAAAAAAAAACACACTAAACCGTCTTACAAAATGCACATTACATACATTATATTACATATTTCTGAGCATCCATTTAAAACCACTGTGATTTTCTGAAACAGAAAAACAAAAAACTTTGAGGTTTCGTCAGTTAAATACTAAAGTCTTTTTAAAAAGCACTGGAGATCAGTCCCAGCTGCACAATGTCCCAAATAATACATAAATAAATAAATAAACAAATCAAATAAAAATCAGAAGCCATTAGATGAGTAAGCAGTAGCCGGCAAGAGTGCAAGCAACAACTTTGAGCAACAATATTGCTTTGTGTTTTTCCATTTTACCATAACTTCACTGATTTACTAGCCTAGTTAATGAAAAGCAAAGGGGTCCAGGGTACAGGGGGCAGACAGCAGGTGTTGCCAGATACTTGTGTGTGGATGTGTGTTCACTTCTGTCAGAGAGACTACTTCTACTTATTTTTAGTCTCACTTATTAGAGAGGTGGATACTCTATGAGCAAGTTATACTGCAAGATATGTTTGGCATATCTTAACA